GGGATAAATTTATGAGGCAACAAAACTAATTATTTTAGAGCAAACGCAGGAAAAGGATTGTTTTTTTCAGTCACAATGACAAAAAACAAAAGCGAATCATGCAAACACAAAATTCATTCTCTTATGGGTAGACAAATACCCCTATATTACATTTATAAATATTTTGTTGAAGAAATAGGACAAATTACACAATAAAAAAAAGCTGTACTGTACATCGTAAATGTCTTAATGTGTTTATCATTGACATATAGGAATGTTACCAGTAAAAAGCTTCCAAAATGCAAGTCACTTCAGATCTCATATATGTTCTGATACTGAAACATCAAAGTGAATGCTTAAAAAATGATTATTAACAGGAAGCAAGGCAAAAACAAGTCAATTAAGACTTTATACCATTAAACAAATAGCTTGAGGTAAAACCGTATTTTATCAGAGTTCTTTAAGGCCAACACCTGACTGAGTAGGTCCTCATTAGCCTTCACCAAATAATACATCATACATACATGATTACTTGGAGCTAATAATAAAGTTCAAAAGTACTTCATATTTTACGTTTTGTCAGGTACAAGATGTGAATTCACCTATTTTAATTAGATTGTTAGCAAAGAGTTTTCTTGGATTTTTCAAGTACATCTGGGCCAAGTAAGCAAATTTCTATTCGAAATAAAGATATATTTTAGCAAAGAAAGCTCATTATAACTTGCGAATAGAACTTCTTAATTGCCCAAGATACATCTTTGCTCTATGTAGCCACTCTTCAAAGTTGTCATGTTGTAAAAAAGATTCTCTTGAATTATTTCCTTGAACCAGTCTAGGAAGTTTTGATTTGTACTATATTGAAAGATTGCACTATCCCAGTAGTGCCATCATGTCCAAGGAATGAATCTCTTGTCACCGAGTGCAAAACAGGCTAAACACAGAGCTATGTGGTAATGTGGTCTGGACCGGAAGGTGGGTAATGGTCCTCTTTTTTTGTACTTTTTTCCACCACAATACCACATAAGTAATCCCATTATAAATGAGCAAAAGTATATATAAATTACTAAGGCAGCAATTTTTAAACCTGGTTTATGGGTTCTTAAGAACAAAGCGAATTTTTTTCATTTATAAAAATTGAACTCGCAATATTTATTTTAACATTATTTTTGATGATGTAGGTAGCTGAAACTAAAAAGAGCATTTCTTTACTTGTATCTTTAAATGAAACTTTAAACCAGTTTTATTTTTCAATAGAATATTTCTACATAAAAATTATAACAAAGTTACAAATCTTCCCATTGTTTTTATCCTTTGGTCTACCTAGTATTGTCTTTCTCTTTCCCTGCCTACAAAAGCATTTAAAATGATTATTAAAGATGTGACCATATCCACTGCATCAAATGCCCAATCATTCCGGAAATGGCTTTGGAAGAAACCACCAAATAATACAAAAAGTCAGTCTTCACTGCACATAAATCAATTCAAGAAACTTCACCATTTTTTCGCTCAAGACCATATAAACCACTCAAATGAGGTTAAAACAATAAAAAATATCACAAGGGTATCATAAAACATGTCAATCTGATTAATCATTAATTAGATCATGTAACTCAAATCTGTGAGAATTGAGACAGATGTCACACAACAGACAAATCGGTACATGAAAAGCTGGTGATTAAATTAGTATGTTGAAAATAAGAGGAGGGGGGTCACTCAATTAAACTGATGGCACCATATGTAAATGGCTTGATCTGGGATGAAAGCTGTTCAACACCTCAGAATATGTTCAAAGTCAATTGCCCCGTTCAGAATGAGAAGAGCAGAGTGCTAGCTAGGCCACCACCTAAATATGGCAGACCTATATGAAAGGAAGACTGCTTAATCCTGTAATGGTCTCTCGGCCTCTCAACACGCATCACCCCTCAACCGGTTGAATTTAGCCAAGATTTAATTACTGTGCCCCTGCAGGAACAATGTGCGGGGAGGCGTGTGAGAGGCGGAGAGACCATTACATGATTAAGTGGTCTTCCTTTCATGTAGGTCTGCCATATTTAGGTTGTGGCCTAGCTAGCACTCTGAATGGTCCCAATGCCATGCTTGGAGTCTGAAGATAATCAGGATATCATGTTGAGGCCCCCAATCATTAATAGCAAGTTGGCTACCATATATTCATTAATTCCAAGTCATTATCAGCACATATGGTAATGTGTCTTTACCAGGTTTCAACAGAAACAGAGCTAACATTAAAACAAACAATCATCACTTTCTTTATCATTCTTTTTTTTTGTTGAAGTCTTCTATTATGAAAGAGTTTCTGTTTACATATGATTTCAAGTTAAAATTTTGTTACCATTGTTTCCATTAATGCCCAGTGCTGCTGAGAGTACAGAATCTAACAAACCCCATAAGACAAAAGGATCACCACTCTGTACAGTAAAATATCCCAATCTAGAAGCCTATAAAAAATCCAAGCCTAAATGGAACCATTAAATCTCTTCCATGGACATACATATCTCCCTGTGAGCCTATAAAAACTATCATATTCACTAAGTGAAACATTCAAAATAGCAATAAATAATCAAAGGTCATAACCATAGAGACTCATAGAGCAGTTGGCATTTTTGTGCCAGACAAACATTCAAATAGTCTTGAAACATCTTTTCTTGAAGGTGAAAAACAAATAACTAGATGTTTGAACATGTTTTGATCTTTCATTCTGCACTTGGTAGCTTTTTACAGAAACTTCAAAACTAAATTTGTCACCCATTTGTTATACTATACATGCAAATTTTGTTGTCAAAAAGAATTGCTCAAAACTGAAATCAAATCTGTAACGGAGACTTGCTCAGAAACTACAGCATTTCCCTCTGTTTAACATCTTTTCCATCCATAAAACTTCATTTTTTGTACTGCTGAATGAAAAGAACAATCCAGCTGAAGATGACAAATGCAAAGCTTATTGCTTGTATCAAGACTGAATATGTAACTACATGCTTCAACCAAAAAGCAAAATTATCCTGTAAAATAGCCAAAAAATTGCTGCCAGAACAAAGCTAGAATACAAATAAATACCATTTAAGTGACAAATGATCGGGCATAATACCATAGTAATTCAGTCAGACTCATTTTCAAACTTGACTCAGTTTTTTCATCTTATAGGTGATGCCAGCAAGTTGGAAGGAAAACAAAATCTTTTTTTTTCAGAAACCAATGTAGCAATATCATAAGTAAGGTAAATACATGCCACACACAATCACGATTACTTTTGAAAAAAAAAAAAAAGACCTCTTTTGTATTGACCAAGATTCCTTGGCTAGATATTTTTGAAAAAAAAAAAAAAAAAAAAAATATATATATATATATATATATATATATAATTTTTTTTTTTTTTATATCAAACGAAGGCTGTCCTGCATTTTTGCCCTGCCAGAATGTTCAAAGCAAATCTGCAACTTTGGTCTGAAATTATCGAAGTAAAAAGAAGTGTTCATGGTTCCAGCTTCAGTTCTTCTTTTCAATGCTGATTTCCAGAAGATTACAGCAACACTTAATTCTGCAGTCAAATGTGTTTGATGAGATACCACTGTCACAAGGACACTGGATATCAGTAATACTTACACCCTTCGAAAATGCTTTGTCTTAATACTAAAAAAATATAATAATAATAATAATAATAATAATAATAATAATAATAATAATAATAATTATTATTATTATTATTATTATTATTGAAATCTTAAGTATCCATATTTGGTTTGACATAACATCATAAAACTACAATACGTAACGAGGGTTCTTTTCTAGGTGGTTCATAATGCTACACTAGTGAAACAATTGAAACACTCCTTGAGAACACTGTTGGTGATGGAAAAAATCAAATTATCTTTATAATTTGGCAAAGCCTATAGGTTACATATAAGGCGTACTCTCGATAAAAAATATATTAAAAATTACTTATGAAAGGACACATACGGTTTTGAATGAAACTGCACCATGTCAGTGATATACACCTTGTGCAGCACAGATGTCAAATTTCTGTACATGTGCGAAAAGCATGCTTTTTGAACTAAACAAAATGGCAAAATTGACACAGCATGCTTAATTTAATTTGCTTTCTGGTATCATTCGATACAGTGCATTGTAAATATTTTGATTGTATGTATAAAAAGCTTAATCCATCAGATTTTGCTAAAAATGTTTATTTTGTCTATATTGTAGATATTTATAGCGTTATATGAGGCACTAAGGGAATTCCTCCCTCCCTCCCTTTCTTGATAAAAAATACCCCATATGGGGTCATGAAAATGATATTTAAAAATGCCTTTCAAACATAGGAAGGTTAATTTTAGGTAATGTATGTGAGAAAACCTTTCTGCTTTGGCAAAATGAGCTGAAATAACATTTTTAACTTGTACTTAAACATTTTGACCGACAGTTATAATTTATCGAAAGCAAGGCAATAGCACTCGACTACAAGAGAAGATTTGTAGCTACTTAACAATTGGAATTCTATTATAAAATTCCTAGCATGTGGTCAATTAAAATATTTTTTGGTTATTAATGACAACTTCAATAATAACAAATATAATAGCACATTATAAGAAAAACTTTCTGCCTTGCTATTAAGTAATCAACTGATATTTTGTACAAATCACAGGCCATAGCATAGCCAAATTGTCTGGGTGACCTTGTTCTCATATCAAGGCATGCCGTTTTGTTCCTGTGCTATGTTGTGTAATATTTGCATTAACTGTTTTATATTGCTTTTTAATTAGTTTTTTTTCATCGAATTGGAGAGTCCAATAGGATAAAATAGTCCAAATAATGGGACCAGTCAAAATGACAATACAATTTTTTATACAAGATTGACCATCACAAACATGACTCAAGGTCCGATTTTTTTGGTAGAATGACCCATTGAGACTATTACTTTTGATGTTAATAACCATTTGCAAAATTAGCTTTGTTTCTCTTTTTGTATTCAATAGTATACTGATATAAATGAAAACTAAAACAACAAGTTGATGTAGTTCAGTTTATATTGACTTCTGAAGCCACAAATGCTTATATATATATAACACACAGAAGGATTCTTTTCCATTCTATTCCTTGGGAGTTATAAAATCGGGACAAAAGACAAACTGATTGGTAAAAAAAAAAAAAAAAAGAAAAAGAAACATACAGTAATTACTGACATGCTCCTCACAAATACATTTTTACTTCATGAACAGCTGAAGAGTTGTACAGACAGATATTTCACAATCCAGTAATATCATATACTTTACCTTGGAGGCATAGGTATACAGAGCTAGGATCTTTTCTATTTGTATTACTTATTATTAAGACTACTAGTATTTTTTACTATTTGAAATCAAATTCCACATACAATGACATCTTGTACCAGCATTTATTTTGTATAATTATAATAATGTTAAAATTCAGTTACTTTGTAAATGATACCTGTAATGACTTTTATTGTCTCTCTTTGCCATTGCCATATTTTTATCAATGTCTATATTCTGTACAGGTATGCATCCTGATCAAGAGAGGGAAAAATAAAATAAAAATTGACACTTCCCAATCCCCTAAAGTCTTTCATTTTACTTTGATGAATTTATGTTCCAAGGAGTATATGCCAACCTCCGTGTTAGCTGATTCATCATAATCACACCACTCCTACAATTAATACAATACATGTCGTATTATATATCAAGTCAATGCCTGCAGGTTATAGGTATATATACTGGTGTTATAAAAATATCAGAGCAAACTAATATTATATGTAGTTCCAATTTAGACACTAATTTAATCAGGTTAAATAAGAAATGTTTTGATGTTTAAGATGCCATTCTAGATTAATTTTTCGTGAATAAAACTATCATGACTCAAAGTATAAGTGCCATCCAGTCATTTTTATGTTCAGTAAATCCATTTTAATAGGCTTTACCTTTTCTGTTAGTGTCACTTCTGTAAATTTAGTTCCGGACTCTGCCCCTTCAGTTGTGAATCCAGTCTAAAAGGGTAAAGTAAGAATAAAGTGTCTGCATTGTGAAAAGTGCTCATTTTCTCAAGCAAATTAAATCTCTGAGCACCTCATTACAAAATGACTCAGGTAGATTTGTTGATCACAGGCACATCATTACACATAATACATAAATCATAGAAATGTACCATACAAAATACATATTTGAAATAGAATATTGAGGATGAAATTTATTCTATGGATGTGACATTGTTATTTTGTTTTTTATGTGTAAAACTGGTCCATTTTCACCCTTCTTATTTCAAACAATCTTACCCTAGGTGAGAAATCCGTAGGTTCTACTCCCCTGCAGTCAAAGACAACAATAGTTTTAAACTTGCCACTGTCTTCAGCAGTGTATGGCACAATTGTATCTTTCAGAATATCTGGAGAATTAAACAAATTTTTATATTATTTATGTGGACTATTTAACATGGAAAATAACAAGTAAAAAAACACGGTAAAAAGTTTTCATTTCAATATGTGTTTAATGCAAAAGTTTTTTTTTTTTTTTGCTCTTCACCAGATCAACACCAATTCTTGAATTTTTTTTTAAGAACTTAATAAAAAGGCATTTTAAATGTGCCATTACCTATGGAATTCTCCCTTCCACACAATTTGCATTTTACAACAAGACTAGCATGACCCCTTCCACCTTTCAGAGGAGAATTTTCCTGTAAAAATTAACAATAACTCTAGGTTCATCTTTTCATATATCAATCAATTAATTAATTTTTCTAGTCATGCACTTACACATTTCACTATAACAATACATTTTTTTGAAAGCAATGTAAATCATATCATGAAAACATGGCTTTTAGATCTAGGTTTCGCCCCTCTGTCAACATACATCACATAGAAAATTATATGCTAAAACAATATTTGGTACTCACCAACAAAGTCAGGTATTGGTATTCTTTTCCTTCTTCTCCACAGTTAGCACATTTTAGCTATAAATATGAAAATAATATTGAAGAGACCATGCATAAATTCTCTTCAATCTTTAGCATTTAATAATAAATAATAAAGCATCTTACATCCTTTTGAAGTCATATTACTAACTCTCCTCAACTTGGCTTTTAATGCATTTTCCGATGCCTAAT